ATCGAACTTTATAAAACTGATGGCTCATCTGCAGTTACCCCACTCTTACCACTGTTTTGTTGGGTTTGTGTGTGTGTGTGTGCGTGAGTGTGTAGAGAGAGAGAGAGGATCTTGGTAAGGGCAATTGTTGAGAAAAGGGGAGAGAGAGAGGGAGAGGGAGGAAAGAGACAAATTGAAAGGACGAGCCCTTGGGATGTAAAATGGAGAGATTTTAGGGAAAGGGAGAAGTGATGGGTGCAATACATTTGTTGGTTAGGAACTAAAGTCGAGTGCGGTAAGTTAGAAATTTTAGTTTACATTGGTCATCTTTGGGCGATTTAATTTGAATCAAAATACACATGCATTTCCAAGTTAATTAGTATCTAAGAAAAATATATTATCTATTTATTTTTTATCAAAACTCCTCTAATAGTAACACTCGTCAAACTGCAAAAGGCCTTGCAACAGACGAATGCACAAATTAAAGAGGCTTAGTACATAGTACTTGCCTTTTCATTTTTCCTGGTTGATGATCAGTTATTCTTTCTTTTGTTTGTGACTAGGTAGATAGGAAAATGTGGATCATAAAGGATGGGAATTTTATTTTTTTCCATGGTTTCTAAGGAAATGAATGTAAAACCCTTGAGAGCCTCAAGTTTAGCAACTGGTTTAGGCAATAATGTACTTATGTCTTGGTTTAAACACATGCCCATTCTTTAGATATATTTGATTGTGAAAGTTCTGGCATATTTTCTTTATTTCAACTAAAACCTTGACATTTTGGGTGTTGAAAATGGTTTTTCTTATCTCTTTTGAAGAGTGATGTGTATGACTTTTAAATTGAAAGCTACAAGGATTGATTTTCTAATACTTATGAGTAACTGTTAAGACTTACGAACTTTTTATTGTAGTAATCACATTGACAAAGTTGGTGAAATTTTTTGTGGGATTGCCATCTAGCTGGACTCTAAAAGTTGCACGAGTGCCTAAATTCTCATTCTAGAGGTAATTATTGAACTGGAGAAGATATTGTGTCTCATTTTTGTCCAAGATGCCCTTTTGTAGGGATTGTACTTTCTATTCAAATTTAGTCATCTCTTGCATTATTTGTGAAATTCATTTCTATTTGGAGCTCAATTTTACTGAACTTGTACCTGAATTGACGTTTGATATTCAAACCAGCAATATTTTCGGGAGAGGTGCAACTGTGTAGTGGAAGACCCTAAACCACTATTCTTCAAGCTACTATCAAACCATTTCAGGTTAGTTATGTCACTTTTTCTGTTCTATGATGTGACTTAATATTTCTAATGGGCAATCTCAATACTGATTGTGACATACATGACCAGATTGATTTCAAGTTAATTAAACCTTGGTAATGCACATTCCATAATATTGCTTTATAGCATGTTAATCATATTTCTCTCTCGAACTCTAATTTACGTGGGGAACAAAATGTCTTCTGAACTAGGGAATGTGAGGAAGGGGCTGTAGTCAAGATAAAGAGGAGGGTAGGTAGTGATAGTGGTGTTGATTGCAGGGTTGCGTGAGAAATTTCAAGCCTGGTCATGGAGCGAGGTATTGCTTGCTTGGATCACCATGATTTGACATTCATTTGGTGAGGTCTAAAATGCATGGACAGACTGTTTGTAGGAATAGAAAGATGCTTTTTTTTTTTTGGTGGTGGAGGAGGAACGGACAATGACGCTGTAAGGGTAGCGAACCAAAAGGCTAGGTTGTGGATGGTAAGGTTAGGGAATACCGCAGGTTGGGTGGGAGGAAAGGTTAGGTTGTGGTTGGGGAGCTTTTGAAACGCTTGCAATGGCCTTATTAATCATTTGATAAAAAATGAATGACAAAAACCAATTCAATTATTATTTTTTCTGTTATTTATCAATATCCTCATATACATATTTTGATAGAACCAAATGAGTTGGTCAATCATTATATCTAGCTGTTGTCAACAAGCATATATGTTGGTAACAAATATTCATCAATTTGTATCAATGTATACTTGGAGATTTGGCGGCTTTGGCAAAACTTAAGGCTATTAAGTTCTCTTTTCCAACCTGAGCTTGCTTAATAATGCTTTTTGTGTTTTATGATTCTAGTTTTTTCTTTGGCCTCAAGGATGGTGTTATAACTTACTGATAAGAAAATATACATTGTTTACAATCTTGTTTGCTCTATTGTTTTGTGTAAGCAATTAACTGTAGTGAAGCTGGACTTGGACATTGTTTACAATCTTATTTGCTCTATTGTTTGCTCTACATTTTTTTTTTTTTAAATATAGCACTTCGATTTTTTTTGTTGCTTTATCATTTCGGAATTTGAGGTGGTCTTTAGATTTGTTTTTGAATCCTTCTATTGATTTGGTAATTTAACATCGGGTTTTGGAGAGGGTGCTTAAAATTGTTTCTGTACGCTCTTAGTAGAATTCCAACATTTCCATGACAACTTCTATTCCAAATTATGTAGGAAAGAATAATAAGAAAAACATGGCTACCCACACTGTAACAAGTGTCTGCTTCAGATCTGTTCTTAAAATGTTGGACAGTCTACGTTTGTTTTTTTTTTAAAGTATTCCAAATGTATATAAATATAAAAACAATGCTTTGAAAGCATGGGATTTGTAATAATGGGGGCAAAAATGTGAATAGAAATTATTGAAACCTGGGATATTTGATATAAGATAAAAGATAAATGAAACTAGGACTTAGGATATCGCATTGGTACCCAGAAATAACTAACCACTTTGCTAAGCCAAATCTGTTTGTGTGTGTGTGTGTGTGTGTGGCTTTTTTTGCATCAAATCGAAGGAAAAAAAAAGTTTGGCGAAACTTTTTTTTTCATCCAAATCTTAGATTTGGCGGTTGTTTGATACTTGGATGTTCATTCGATGCCTTTGATTGTTGATTTGGGGATGTTAAGGTGAATTTGTGATAAAAAATTCGGGCTTTCAGAGGCCGTGAAGAAATCGAGCACTACTTCACACAGTCGGTAACTTTTTATTCCTTCTTGTACAATAATATTGTTATACTTATTTTTGGGGCAATGTCTTCTTCCCAATCTTCTAGTAACAAGGATCCGGCTTAGAAATATGCTAAACTAAAAAATCCGAAGGATAGAAATTATGTGATATGCTTGCTCTGTGGAAATACTTATATGGGTGGTATTTTTCGACAAAAAGACCATTTAGCTGGAATTTTTGGGAATGTAAGAGCATGCCCACAAGCTACAGATGATATAAAAAAGGAGATTAGAGAATATTTGGATAGATTGAAAAAAGATAAAGAGAAAAAAGAAAAGAAAAGAAAGGAATTACTTGATGATATGCAATTATTTGATGATGATGATGATGATGATGATGATGATGATGATACGTCTGAAGTTGCTATGAGGCAAAGGGGTACTCATACTCCAACCTCAAGAGAGAGGGTTGTAAATATTGGTGGTAATGCTGAGAGAAGAACACCTCTCTCTAAGGGGCCAATGGATTCTTTTTTCACCCCTAGCCCCGAAATTGTGGTTCAAGAGAGAGAAAAAAACAAAACAAACCACAATTGACAATAAATATAAGAAAGAACAAAGGAAGTCGGTATGTAAGTGGATTGCAAAGTGGATTTACATGGCCGACATCCCTTGTAATACTACAATTTTGGATAGTTTTGCATGTATGGTCCAGGCAATTGGGCAATATGGCCCAGGACTTATTCCTCTTTCACTACATGAGGTTAGGGAGCTCTTGTTGAAGGATGTTGTATTTGATATGAATAAAAATTTGTTTTCTCAGAGAAAAGGGTGGGAGAAATATGGGGCCACTATTATGTGTGATGGTTGGTTCGATGGGAAATCGAGGCCATTCATTAATTTTTGGTTAACTGCCCAATAGGTACTTTTTTTTTTAAGTCTATTGATGCATCAGACAAGTCACATGATGGTACATACGTATTTGGCTTGATGGATGAGATTGTCGATTTTGTTGGGGAGCAAAATGTGGTACAAATTATCACTGATAATGGTGCCAACTATGCTGCGGCTGGGCATTTCTTGACTTTGAAAAGGAAGCATATGTTTTGGACTCTTTGTGCAGCTCACTATGTTAATCTTATGCTTAAGGAAATAGGTATAACATCTTTATTTAGTGGGGTGATTTTAAGAGCTATATTTGTTGTTGGATTTATTTACAATCACCATAGTCCTAAGCATGATGTGGTCTTTTACAAAGAAGAGAGAATTAGTGAGACCGGATATGACTAGATTTGCCACGTCATTTCTCACTCTTCGAAGCCTAGCCAAGCAAAAAAGTGCCTTGAGGACCATGTTTGCTTCAGAGCAATGGAGTCAAAGCAAATGGTCAAAGCATAAGGATGGGAGAAAGGCTGAAAAAGTTATTCTGAATACATCTTTTTGGAGTCAAATAATTATTGCATTGGAGGTGGCTCGCCTTTTAGTGAGAGTGCTTCGACTGGTTGATGGTGATGCGAAGCCCTCCATGGGCTACATACATGAGGCAATGACTAGGGCAAGAACTGAAATAAAAGATGTTTTAAAGGATGATGAAAATCTGCGCAAGGCTATACTTGAAATTATTGGTAGGAGATGGGATACCCAGCTTCACAGGTACCTCCATTCAGCCGGTTATTTTCTAAACCCATCTCTTCACTACAAGCACCCATCCATTGAGTCATATCGTGTAATAAATGGTGGGTTCTGAGATGTGCTGGAGAGGTTGGTGCCTGACAAAGATATCCAGGATGAGATCCAGAGCCATGAATTGATTAAGTTCAAGTTAGCCTTGGGAAACTTTGGGAGAGATATTGCCACTCGAAATAGGGACACTACAGATCCAGGTAAAGGCCAAAAGCCCAAAAATAATCTTACTTGTCTCTTACTTTATGTATAGTTCCATTGTTTATTTTATACCCTTAATTTTTAATTATATTCTAAATTATAAAATATTATACAGCTGCATGGTGGGCATTATATGGAAGCGAGACACCAAATCGACAACGTCTCGCTATTCGAGTGTTGAATCTCACATGTAGCTCATCTGGTTGTGAGCCCAATTGGAGTGCATTTGAGTATGTAAGTCCTTTACTCCTTATTCCTTAATCCTTATTTATTGAATTTCAATTTTCTAATCTAAAATCTAATTTATCTGATTTCAAATTTCTACCACAGCTCCATACAAAAAAAAGAAATAGGTTGGAGCAGAAAAAGTTGAATGATTTGGTTTGTGCGGTATAACGAGCGGCTTAGGGAGAGGTATGAAAATTGCACGAAGCTCAACCCTATTCAATTATATGAAGCTGATGGTGATTCTATAAGTGAGTGGACCATGGATTCCAGACAAGAGCGTGTATTTGAGGGTGAGGATCTTACATGGCTTGATGTCGAGCTAGCAACAGGGGCTAATGAAAAAAGCAGTAGAGGAGCTGCTGGGTGTAGTCGCACTCGCACATTAGCTTCAGAGGTCGAGGAGGAAGCTAACTCAGAGGAGACCGATGAAGAAGAATACATGAAGGCTGTCGAGGATGATATTGATGATGGGCATGACGACTCTCAAGATGACTTGTCTGAATGATATTTGAAAAAATGAAGTTCAATATTAAAATTGACTCTCAAAATGGATGATTGTATTAAGTTAGTATTTATTAACTATTAACTCTTCTTGAGCTTGACTTTTGATTTGTATTTTGTAATATCATTATTTTGTGCTTATGGTTGTACTTATGGTTGTTGATGGTTGTGTTTAATTATAGTTGTGCTTGTGGTGCAAATTTGTGTTGATGGTTGTTGATTGTTGAATGCTTTATGAAGCTAGTTTCAAGTTTCTAGTTTCTATCAGGGGATAGTGGATAACTGGATACAGAATCTCCGACATCTAATAGTTTTGAAGTTAATCATTAAACTAAAATACCTACTATCACATATATCACCTTCATATTTTTTTCTATGCATTAACTTATTTTTTTAGATTTTTTAGAATTTTTTTCCATTTATTGACCGCATCATCGCGATGCGCTTGCATCCAGGCCGCATCGAGCCCCATCGCCGCATCGGCCCCCCACCGCATCAGGGCCGCATCCCGCATTTTAAAACATTGGCAGGAACTATGCTCTCACAGGATATTTAGCTGTTTCAAACCCATCCTAAGAAAGCAGGGCACCTAGTCATTTTCTAAAACTACAAGTGGGAACCAAGAGTTTTTCGATAATATAAAGCAGCAAATTGGAAATTCAAACTTATTTTCACGAAGAAAGAGTAATAAATTACCATGCTTTTACAAGTAAGCTCTAATCAATTGCTTCTGAGATATCAAATTGGTGGTCTGCATCTACTGCCTAGCTGGTGAACAATGTAATTGCATAGAAATCTTCTTTGGATATCCCCATATTGTATAAAAATCCTACATCTACATCAGAACAATGAAGAAAGTAACACTTTGAAGAAGCTTCTTCCAAAAACTGGTCATGATTCTTATTTAATGGTTACTAATTTTCTCTTAAAGCAAATAGGTACAACTAGCAGCTGGACGAAGATTGACTCCCAAAACACATATCCTTTTTCTAATATATTCCAGCCAATTGCCCAAAAGAACAGGGTTCCTAAATGAACTATCTTCACAAAATAATGCAACAAATAAATGAATCTATAAAAAAACTTAAAAAAAAAGGAGGAAAAACCAGCCATGAAATGAACCAACTCATTCCTACAGAGAACTTAAAATTCTGGATCAATTCACGTGCACTATGATCTATGCCTATTTCACATTAACTGTGAACTGTGCACAATAAATTATGTATAATTTAATAGTGCTCTAAATGAACATTTAGATATTTCCATATTACATGTCCATGCATGTGCTTGTGTGAGCAATGATCGTATGATTTCATAGAATGCTAATTCTCTATGTGTGTATCTTTCACAGGATATATACAACAGATACAACAACCAGATTGTAAAGGATCAAAGGTATTTGTATACTAAAGAATAGGGGATTACTATTGTAAGATTTCCATTGGCAAAGATGATGACAGCATGTTGCAAAGGCAACACCTCTCAGGCTGCAATTGTCTCCTGGTCCATTATGTTGCTGAATGAGGCAGCACCTTAAGGTAAAGTCTGCAAGCACAATTTAAATATGAAATAAGGAATGCAGTGAATTCCCGAAGCCAGTAATGCTGACAAAGTTATCTTCACATGCATTCCCTAGTTAATTATTGGGTGACAAACTGAATTTGCCAACCTGTGGCAGGACCACATAGATGTTTCCCAATTGCCAGGAAGAAACACCCCCTAAAAGTCTATACATTATTCAAGTCCAAATCATCAACTGCAATAGTTAATTTAGACATTAGATGCGCAAGGGGGATGTAACTGACAGTATTCAATAAATACATCTATGCATGTAATGCGAAATATTGTCTGCTTATCATGTTAACTGTGTTAGAAAACCAAATGAGCTCCCATTGAAAATAGCCTTCATTAGTTTAATAGTGATTATGTAAGGAACTCAAGGCCCCTGCAAGGTCCCCTGACCACTTGGCCCTCTAGCACTATTACAACACAATTTGTTTAATGAACTTTCAACATGCAAGAGCAATTTGAAGTTGGACCAATGCAGCCCATGGAAAAAGCATTATGCCATTACTTACCTGGTTATAGTATAAAACTCGACAATCCTCTTAACTTGATGGTGAAGCCTTTCAACATATTGCTATGAAGGGTAAGGGACCATAGCTAATGGATTATGGATGATTGCAATACTTCATGAACCCACATCTTAAAAGGGAGCCATGCCTCAGCCATTGGAGCTCATTGCAAAAGAAATTCTTTCTAAATGGTATTCCATCATTTCACAGAGACAATCAGGTATGTTGTCTTTTGATGAGTTCTTTTGTGCTTTGAATGGATACAAGTTGTATCATAGAATACTGCCTAAACTTTTCAAGATGAATATTATAGTTTCTACTGTTCCAAGATGAGTTGAACATGGAAGCTGAGAGAAACCATTATATTCTTACTAAATGTATCTCGTTTTGTTTTGTGCTTCTTATACACATGGAATATTGGATTTATGTTCATTTCCTATATTTTAATGGAAACTGCTAAATGCCTTCTTTCTATTGAAATTAGTGGAATACTGAAGCGAGATTCTAATGGGGAGGGAGCCTTCAATTGGTCACTTTTAGTATCTGAATGTTGGTCCATGTTTTGGGCATTATGTAATAGATTTGGTGCAGTTATTTTTTGTGCATGGTTCTTTGATACTTCAAACATGAAGAAAACACCCACTTTACTCATTTAAAAAATAGATCTGAAAGGGGAAAAAAAAGGCGGAACTATAAATCAAGACTAAATATCTTGTTAAGGCTTCTGGAATGACTGCTTCAAATAGACACAAGTATAACTTGAATTTTTTCATTAATGTTAACTAATGGCTTTTCATATCTCGATGGGCTTGCAGTACCTCACCTTGTAGCACGGTAGCTCAATTGATTTTGAAACTTTTGGTTCATGAAATAATGTATCAAATTTTACGATGAAGATGGAGGATTGGGGTAGGTTTTTGTTTCCTTGCTTTCCCTATGAAATGAAGATGAGTTCCAGTTAATATTTAGTGTTTAAACTGAATGGATACTTTGTATGCTTCAATATTCTAATAGACTAACCATTGTTCAAAAAAACGGACCGCCCAGCGCATCGCCAAAAGGCCTGGGTGCGCATCGCCCAGGCCTAGGCGGCCAAACTGGGCGGTGGTCCCTGGGTGGCCGCCTAGGTGGTACGGAACCCGCCTAGCTCCCAGCCCTGGGTGGCCGCTGAGGGCCTGCCCCCCGCCTAGAGGTGGAAATGTTTTTTTTTGTTTTTTGTTTTGATTTTTTTAAAAGATATAAAAGGTTAGAAGGAGGGGATTTAGGTTCATTTGAAACCTAACCCACAAGAACCCCTTTTAGAGAGAAAAAAACCTCCAGAAAACTACATTTCATTGGATCGAAGTGTCTCAAAGTTTAGAGTTCGAGCAATCAAAGTAAGTACAAAATTTTATTTTTTAGATTGATTGTTTTATTTTGAGATGTCTTCTTCAAGAGTTAGTCGGAGTGGAGATCCGGGTTGGAAATATGGATACAATCCGAATCCAAAAGACAAAAATTGCGTTAGATGCAATTTTTGTGAAAAAGATACAAAAGGAGGTATAAACCGGTTTAAGGAACATTTTGCCAGTATTAAGGGGGTTGCTGGCCCTTGTAAAAATGTTTATGAAGCTATCAGAGAGGAGATTAAGCAATATATGAGTAATGGAAAACAAAAACAGGAACAAAATCCTTGTCATCGATTTATCTTTGCTACTTCTAGAAGAAGTGATCCGGGTTGGAAGTATGGGTACAACCCAAAACCAAATGATAAAAGTTGTAAAAGGTGTAATTTTTGTGAAAAAGATACCAATAGGGGTATTAGCCGATTCAAAAAACACCTTATTGGTGTTAGAGGTAATGTTGCTTCTTGTACAAAGGTTCTTGAAGCAGTTCGAGATGAGATTAGACATCTTCTGAATTTAGAAGACCAGAAAAGGTTGAAAATAAGCCTTGTTCTATTGAAGTATCTTCTCTAGGTTCTAGTCAGAGTGGTGATCCGGGAAAGTATGGTTATAACCCGAATCCAAGTGATAAAAATCGTATTAAATATAATTATTGTGGAAATGATACTAATGGGGGCATTTACCTGTTTAAAAAACACCTTGCCTGTATTAAGGGGGTAAAAATGTTCCTAAGGCTACCGGAGAGGAAATTATACAATATTTGAGTTCAGAGAAGTACAAAGAAAAGGGTAGAGCAGCCAAGACTCCTAAGGCCTCATCTGCACAGGCTGCATATACTAGTAAGAGGAAGGTAGAAGAAGATGAGGAAGAAAAGGCAGATTCAGAAGAAACAGAGGAAGACGAGCGTTGAAGAGGGAGATGACTCTGATGATGATGGCCTCGACTCTAATGCATATGATTAGACTGTATATTTTCTAAATTTCTGTATATTTCTGTTGTATTGAGTGTTGACTTTTATATCCTACACTTGTATGGTTTTACAGTTTACTGTTTTAACAATAAGGATTATCAAAATTCTCTTCTTGACATGTATCTTTTTTTTTTTCAACTTGGAATATGGTATTTGGTAATTTGATATTTTTTTTCAACTGGCCGTCTAGGCACTGTGCGGCTTGGACCCCCCAGGCCGCCTAGGACCTGCCTAGCATTTTTTGATATGCTGGCACTAACCATGGTATTGCTGGACCAAACCATGTGAAGTTATGAACATTTGTTGCCATGGAATGTATAGGGTTTTATGCATTGTCATGAGTGTGGCTTGCTGCTGGACGTCAATATGTGTTAGAAGGCTTATCATCTTAAACAAGGGAGTCTAAAGTGAAAATAGTCAAGCCTTTTGGAAGAAGATGAAACATAAACCTAAGAGATGCATGAAGCTTTTCTCAGTAATGCATATTTACCTTAGGATATATTCTCTTTTTATAATTCTTTTCTGGCATGGAATGAGAAATGGAGCATCAACATGTGAACTTGTGCAAATATAGGGCTCACTGGTATTAAGAGGATATGTTATTTTCTGAGATGGGAAATAGAACCTTTATTCTTCCTTGTTTTTTATCCAAGTCAGATGTAATTGTCATTTAGAATTGGGTTGGTTTGGAAACGTAAGGGTGGTGTCTATCAATTTCAGAGTAGTATTTGTTATGTCTCTAGACTAACAACATATCCGTGAACTTTTAGGGATTGTACCTTTTATAATTGACAAGCCTCTGCCATTTAGTGGTTTTTTATTTTTTTTATTATTTTATTATTTTTTGTTAATAAAGATACTTGACTATAAGGAACGTTTCTTCATGGAGAAAAAAGGACTACGAACTATGGTTTCATATAGCTGTGACTTATTCCTAGATACATCCGATTCCCAGTTAGCCAACTCATCTACCACTATATTTACCTTCTGAAAAATGTATTTAACAAGTTATTGAGAACTGGTCTTGGTTCTATTAGTTCTTTTTAGTTCTTTTAAAACTATTGATGGCTTTCCAAATTTTCTAGATCACAGTGGCAGTACCGAACTTTTTAAAACTGATGGCTCATCTGTAGTTACTCCTATCTTACCACTGTTTTCTTGGTTACTTAAAAAATGTTCTTCTTTGTTCTACCAAAGAGCCCTCAATACTAAAAATATTGCATAGATCGTTTAATTGTCTCCTTGTTTGTTTCATGTGATATCCCAAAAGCATGCAACTCTAGTGCTTCTCTTTGCAGCTCCAACAAAAATTCAGCTTGATCATGTCATTATTTTCTCCGTGGTTGGTGGTGAATCCAATCTCTCTTGAGGCTTGGATCTCAAACGTTGAAGATCTGCGATTGTTTTTGGGTCAAAGGTTTAACTAGTTCTTCACGAGCTTTGGTCCTTTGATTTTTCATTATTTTTTTTTGGGTCAAGGGTTTGACTAGTTCTTCACGTGGTCTTGATCCAGCTTGGATTTTTTTTCACCATTTCGATTCTTTGAAAGACTCCATACTGTCACTAAGAAAGTGCTGCACAACTTTTTTTGCCCTCGCTTGCTCTATCACATTCATCTCCATCCATGTGACGTAATGGAAATGCATGTACAAGTTGTAATTCAAAAAAAAGAAAAAAAAACTAGACTGACATTTTTTATCATATTGTGCACAACATGAGACACCCACCTCTTCTTCCTCTAAGATATTACATTTGTTTACCAAGACTAAACCCCTATGTTGGACATGATCCAGAGTTATTTGGACTTAGCTGGTCACCAGCCCAAGCCCCGATGGAGCAGTGGTACTTTGGCACACCCTTCTTGAAAGGTGGACAATGTGACCTGGCAAGTCACTACCTATTAAAATTTTTCTATTTTTTCTTTTTGTATTGCCACAGGAATCACTCACAAGTCTCTGAATACAATATGAACCAAATAAAATTGCCAAGTACTCTCACTTGCTTGCCATTAATATTAAAATACATTCAAAATACAGATCTGGAAATAAAAATGCAATAGAATCGAAAGAACATAAACTAAGAGAATACCTTATACGTTGCTTCAGGTTACCCCCAAGGACTTAGTACACCCCACACCGGGTCTCCTCCACCAATGACCCACGGGATCTAAGTCCAAGAACTTGTCTCACAAATTTGGGAAGCCTAGGCAAAAACCAGTAGAGAGCATAACATAATATATGCTTGACCAAGGCTCAACACCTGGACATAAGGCCAAGGCCTAGTGCTATAGGCTAGGTGGCTTGGCCGTGCCACCCCTTGGCTTATTTTTCCTTCCTAAACCCTAAAGTTTGGAGAGAGAAGAAGCGAGAGATATTTAGAGAGTGGCGTGTCACTCCTTCAAGCACAAAGAGAGAGAGAGAGACAAGTGTAGAGAATGAGCCCCACCCATAGCTACTTTATATAGAATAAAGGCTAGGGTTTTGTCATCTTTGTGAGACTTAATCTTGACCTTTGATCTTGGAGATATGTGGGGTGAAGAGATCTCATCCACTCATCCCTTAGATCAGCCATTATGATTAAAAGGATGCGGTAGAACCATTATCCCTCAGTTTCCATAACTCCATTCACATCAAATATTGTGTAGAGAAAGTAATAAAGAAATCACAATTAATTTTTTTATATCTTCTTATTTTGAAATCAATCACAATTAATTTCTTACTCCTCCCTATTTTGAAATCAATCAAAATCTCTACACAAAAGGTTTCCTAAAATATCAAGTCAAAATATGGCATAATTGCAATCTTTCAGTTTAGAAAAGTTTGGAACAGGTGGGGCATACCACCAATGGGGTGTCCGTCTATGTGG